AAAGAGCTTCAGAGTACAGTATTTTAAATTTAAATAAAAAATAAAAAATTAAAAAAGAACCACTGGGCAATTTTTTGTCAGTTTCAAAAATAAAAAGTTAGGCAGCCATGAGTAAATCACCTAGAAGAAAGGCAAAAGTCTATTTTTAAGCCAACTATTTCTCTTATAAATAAAGTATCTCTATTTCAGTTTGCATTGTTCAATAATTACTTGATTAAAGAGACAATGTATATTGAGAGAGCTGAAAGACATGTAAATGCTTAGTGTCCTCCTTCTCCCAGGCTTTAATCCCTGCACGGAAAAAACACAGAGAACAGAAACCAAGATTAAGTAAGGCCCTGGAAGAGTTCTGACCACTACTACCAGCACCACAGAAACAAAATCCACGGAAATAAATAGATATTCCCTGATGGACTGTGCTCAGGGCAGGGCCTGTTAGCCTTCCTCTTTTTCATTAGTCATTGACTCACAGATCAACAGAGGCATTACCCAATTTCCTTAAACTGTTCTGCATGAAGCTTTTCTTGTTGCATAATCCCACACACTAGATTTGGAGAGTACATGGTAGAAAAGAAGTGCATTCTGCCAGGGGAGCAGAAGAAAGAGCTAAAGGATTTCCTCTTCTAAAAGTTCCTGCGTGTCCTGGGTTCAGCAGCTTAAATGACACTGTTACAGCTCAAAGCCACACGCTATTTTAACCATTCCATTTTCTACCATGAGCCAGTCTGGGTTTGCCAAAATCGGCTAACCATAATCAAAATGGGCGGAAACAACTGCAACAATTTCTGCTGCATGTACAAAGAGCTGATTCAACCCCCTAGAAGAAACACGCAGACGCTACCCAAACCATAGGGCTAAAACAATTGAATACAAACGTTGGAAGAGGTCAATAGACAGTATCAGCCAGCAGACAACAGGGAATGTCTTTAGAAACAGACTAGGTCAAGTTTCTTGACCTTCCTTTTCTAGTACTTCATCCTTAACATTGGAATGGATGGTAAGAGAATCAAACTGCAAGAGTAGTAACAATGATGTGCAAATTAATAAAATTACATTCAGTGCTTCAGGAGGATCTAAGTTACATTTATCACAAGGTTTTTCTGCAAGGCTGAAAGCACCCTAAATGAATACAATTTTCTGTACATCGCACATTTACTCTAACTGCACTGAACTCCAAAGGCACAGAAACAAACAGGCCCTATTTTAAGATGTTACCTCAAGATGTAACATTTTTCAGAAAGCTACCATCACTTCTCCCTGTGAGTTAACAGTTTTGGCTCACCAGCAGATACTCCTTTAACTTTGTCCAGACATTCCTATCAAATACCTTTCAGATTTAGCATTTTCAGCTCAGGTATTATTCAAATTTATGCAAAGCAAAGCAATTAATACTTGAGTGAAATGCCAAGGACTTTCTGTATTTTCTAGCACTTCGGCACACCTCCTCCCCCATGCTCTACTTGATGGAAGGCAGATGGTACTTTCTAAATCTTTTGCTTTGTTTAACCTTTCATTATGCCAGTATCAAATGCTTCAGACTATCAGCATAACCTGCATTAGCCACAATGAATTCATGCTATGCTCCACACATATCAGGGTCTGTTTGCAGCTTTGAAATACTCCCTCTATATAGTCAAAATCATTGTGTGAGCTACTGCACTAGTCTACCCAACAAGCAGTTTCATGGGACAGCCTATGAATTCTCCAAGAAACTGTCTGGATTTGACATAACTAGAAGAGTAAGCAAATCCAACTCAGTAATTACTATCTTTTATTATTACCAATAATATTATTTAGAGGAAAATAGTCCGGTAATTAGAGAATAATTTCCTACTACATGGGTCAAAAATTTAAGGTTAAACTTTCTAGGATGAAATTTCAATTTTAGACATGAAAACAAGCTTTCTTCTCTATGGTCACCACAAGAAGAGCAGGCAAGAAAAAACCAACAAACCAAATTGAAGAAAAGATCACAATACCCCTCAGAAGCCTCTTACTGGGATAAAAGCCAAATCGTAAGTATTTCATGGTACTGCCTCATCTTAATACTTAACTGTGATACTAATTTCATGAATGTTTTAAATGTGTGAAAATTAATTTTCCTTTCAGGAATTACTATACAGTAACAAAGACGATATGTTTTCCACTAATGAAATGAAATCAATGTAATCTAACAAAAACTAAACATGAAACTGCCCCTCTTACTTCCTTCCTAAAGTTAAACAGTGACATCATAAGGTACCATACAGACCAACATTAAAAGCCACCGATCACTTTCCTGCTTATAGATGTCTCTTCTTAGTCCTTCACAGAAGGAGTTGGTATTTGACAAAAAACAGGACAATACTTAACAGTTTTCTGGAGAATAGGGGAAACCTTGAATCTTACCAAATGGGCTTTCCAGTTAAGAAAAGTAAGAATCTTCAAATCAACAATAGCAACAAACTCAGAAGACTCTCTCAGAAGCCTTCAGGAATGATGTACTTGGATGTTACATGTGGGGGAAAGATAAATGGTCTAGATCTCCCTCCCACTCCCATCCCATGAAAAGATTGTTTGACACATGGCTGTTGTCAGTACACACACTGAGGTTTTGCTCTTGTATTTATAGAATTAGAATGAGTTATGTCCATGTACAATGACTATTAAACTATTAAAGAATCACCAGGTGTACCTGCTTCCCAAAACTTGCAAATTTGTACTGGCAACAAAGTGAAGCACAAAAACCCTTAAATGCATTTTAAGTAACTTTAAGGTGGGAATAAGGCGTGCACTTGGAAACCTGATGAGGGAGCAGTAACATTAACAGCAGTTTGCCTCCCTCAAACTCCGGGCCTCAATGAAAAACGATACAAACAATAAACTCCTTGATTATTTTATTTTCTAACCAAAAAAGGCTAGGTAAACAAGAATCATTAAAATAAACAACAGATAAAACAATCTTGGATTTTCATAATAACTATTGGTGGCAGCCACAGCTTTGCACTCTGGTGCGCTAGGTGGGAGAGAGCGGAAAACTATCTCCTTACGACCTCTTTATTTCTAGCTTCAGAAGCGATTATCATGGGTCAGTAACCACTAGCATCTTTGCCAAAACAAAAACAGATCTGTACCTCAAAGGCCCCAACACAAGTCTGGCGTGGGTCTTTTTTTTTTTGCTTTTGTTATTTTATTTGATACTAAAGATAAAAGTAGCATGATTTTAACAGTATACCCCCGACTTCAAAACGTCTGCAAACACAAACAAGACCTTCATCGTACATCAAAGCTTCAGACGCTACAACGGTGAAAAAAGCCATGCCTGAGAGGCAGCATTCACCACTCTGCGAACTCAGGAGCACATCTCGCCTGAAAGGCTGCCCGGCTGTTAGGAGCCGCCAGAGAGGAAGACGGAGGAAGGGACCTCCTCAATGAGAGAAACAAAGCAACTCCGAGCATGAGGGGCCGCGGAACCGGCGCTCACGGCGCCGCACAAAGAGAAGCCCAACTTTTGCCCGGGCACGTCTTCAGGGGAAACCCGGAGGCCGGAGCAGGCCCCCAACTCCCGTGGGCTGCCTGCGGCCCTCTCAGCCCCGCGGCAGCCTCTCGCCCCGCCTCAGGGCGCGCTGGCCACCCCACCTCCCCGTGGCTAGCTCGGGGCCCCGCGCCCACCTTGGCTACCGAAGAGACTCCACAGCTTGGCGAAGATCAGGCCCATGCCTGGCCTCAGCTTCCCCCTGAGCCCCCGGGCTCAGCCAAGCGGCGGTGACAGACTCCCTTCGGGCGGACACAGCCCGCAGCGGCCCCGGGGCAGCTGCCGGGAGGGGGGGCAGAGGGGCCGGGCATACAGCGGCACCGCCCCTCCCCGGCCAACGGCCTCACAGCGCAAGGGGCCGTCCTAACGCCTACGCGGCTGTAGCAGCGCGTCACTTTGTGCGTCATCACGTATACCCACGGCGTGTGGCCTTAGCGGTAGCGGGTTAGGCGTGTGTGGTGCGGCGGAGCTGGGGCAGCGTGGAGGGGCCGGGTTTTTCCCCGGGCTGGTGGTGAGAGCGGTGATTAGGAGCTCTCCACCAGGGAAGGGTGTTGCGGGTTATGCTTGTCCCCCGCTCTGGTAGAAGCGGCTCTGCAGCAGTGTTTGGCCCTGGAGCGGGAGCGTCCTTTCCCTCGTCACCGCGTTCCCCGCCCAGGTAGGGGCGGTCTTCGCTGTGGCTGGGAAGGACCTGTGGTTTTCAAGGCATTCGATTCTTTCCTGCAAAGCATTTAAAAACAGCGGTGTGTTTTTTCAGTGCTGTACTGAAGCACTTAACACATCGGAGGGGTGGAAATAGCCTGTTTTCATACACGCAGGAGCGTTTAAGCTTGCTCTCGCTGGGGGCAAGGGGGCACCAACACCCCCCCCCCCCCCAAACAAAATCAACATGTCGTGGTTTAAAGCCCAGCCGGTAACTCGGCACCACGCAGCCGTTCGCTCACACCCCTCTTTCTTACCGTCCCCGGGCGGGATGGGGAGGAGAATCGAAAGAATGTAAACATCAGGGGTTGAGATAAGAACAGTTTAGTAACTAAGTACAATATAAGACTATTAGTAATATTAAGGGAAACAACAAGGGGAGAGAATATAAAATCAAAAGGAAACAAAAAACAACCCAACAATAAACACAAGTGATGTACAACACAGTTCTTCACCATCCATCGACCAACCCCCAGCCTGACCCGAGCAGCGATCTGGCTTTTCGGGTGAATTCCCCGTTTATGTACTGGGCACGGTAGGGAATACTCCTTTGACTAATTTGGGTCAGGTGTTCTGTCTCTGCTTCCTGCCAGTTTCTTGTGCCCCTTCTCGCTGACAGAGCATGAGGGACTGAAAAGTCCGTGATTAGGGTAAGCGCTACTTAGCTACATCGGTGTGTTATCTGCATTGTTCGCAGACTGAAGCCAAAACACAACACTGCACCAGCTCTTAGGGAGAAAATTATTTCAGCCAGAACCAGGGGACACACACACACACAAAAAGGCGAAAACAAACCCCCAAAATTAAATGAACCCCAAAACTCCGTCAGGAACGCTTTGTCAAGAGTTTCCTTATGAACCAAAGCTGTACATTGAACTTGTGATGCGAACTACTGCAGCGTCGCAAGCTCGCTGCTGCCCCATAAGGCGGGAACACGCCGCTCTGCCGCAGGTACCTGCCGTCTGCGATCCTAGCAGCTGAATGCACAGCTCGATACCCCAGAGAGGGAGGAAGACATTGCAACGACCCAGCCTACAGCGCCGCGGCAAAGCTGGATCTGCCCGCGGGGCAAACTCCTCCGGCGGCAGGAGCTGTGAGGGCGCTGCTTATCCCGGCCAGGGATCAGGCAAGCCCTGTCGGCCCCGTGCTTTGGAATACTCCCACCCCTCTGAGGCACGTCTGGGGCCATAGTAACAGCCAAGCCAGCAACACCCTCTCGGCCTTCGAGCAAACCCTGCCGCGGCAGAGGCGGAACTTCCTGCCGCTGCGCCGGAGGAGGAGGGATTGGCGCGGTGTGCGGCGGTAGGTGCGGGGCTGGCGGCGTGTGGGGGTCAGCGCGCCGCCGCTGGAGGGCGGGACACGGCCAGGCCCGATTTCAGCGTGCTCCGTTCTTCTTTTAGCGTCCCGGCGAGGGGCCTCGTCTGTGGCTCTCTCAATGCCCGCCGTGCCTGAGGGGGCAGCGGAGAAACATCCCGCTGATCTGCGCCGCTTCCCGGCGCAGCCTGGGTTGAGGTGCCGGGCAGTGCCTCCCCCCAACCCCTCCCCGAGGTGTGTTCAGAGACGGGGCTGATGGGGAATGAAGGAGAGAGCCCCAAATTCTGCTTCCCACAGCAACGAACCGGCTTCTTCCTCGTGTGGGAAGGGGTGGGGAAAGGAGGAAGTTTGAAAGTTAAATTTTACTCGGTATGGCTGGGCGGTGGCTACGTTTGACAGCTTGCAGTGCTTATTCACGCAATTAGGTCAAAGCCCTGTACCGGCAGCGCATCCACCGCGGCAGCTCCCAACAGGGGCACAGGGGAGTCTGTACGGACATGGTGAACAGGGGGTGATGCTCCTTGAAGGGCTGTCTTCTGAAGTCTGCCAGAAGCCTTTCCTGGGGCAGGGCGTACAGCACAGCAGGTCTGAAAAAAAGCCAACAGCAAGGTGGTGCAGGTTTTGAAGCTGCTTCGTGCTAGTTCTGTTTGAAGTCCAACTCTTGTATTTGAAGAGGCGCTGACAGTCTCCCTCTTCAGCTTTTCTTCGAAAGTATTCATTAACTGTGGTTAGAAGTATCATGCTTATGTGTGATATCTACCCCATCTATACAGGGAGAAGTGAAATCTCCTTGGTTTTGTTCTTGTTTTTCTGTTGGCCCTCATTAAATGTCATGTATTCTAATATACTTCCCATCCTGTTTAGAAGGATAGTGGTTTCTAACACATTATAGCTTTTCTATTTTGGTATGAAATTTCAAGCGATAGAGATTCTGCATTATTGGCATAGTTGTCTTGTTAATTTGTATCATGGGGCTAGCTGCCCTTTATAACACATTTAGAGAACTTCATTGCAGTTCTGTCCTTTGTGCACAGTGGTTTTGACCAAGAACTTTTGTTTCTGACCACCTGGTGGGTTGTGTTTCATGGTGGCACTCTGTCACATCTTAAAATAGGTAGAAACAAGTCCTGTTGCCAACAGACTGTCAGGTTGGTTTTCCATGAAGACGTAATTGTGAGATCATCTCAGTCATTTTGTGGGATTCTGTGGTCATCATAAAATACCTATTTAATTTCCTAAAAATATACCATCATAATGTTAGTACCAAAGTCACTGTTTCACAATTCATTCCATTACAATTTCTTTCTTTCAAAGGCTGCTAATCTTGGGAATAAAACTTGAAACTCCTACTGATAAAACTGAAAGGTGCCTTTGTTTGAGCTCAAAAGTTACGTCTAAAGATAAAAAGATAACATTCTTTTAGCATTAAAACTTCAGCTGGACCTGAAATATATATAAAAAAAAAAAATGGTGGAGAGGGGGAGTTTGTATGATGAAAGTGACAGATAGCCTCTTATTCAAATATAATGAATACCAAAGTTTCTGATTTATCCTTCTTATGGATATAGTAAACCTCAGTGACAGGGGGTGTTCTCACTTTCCCTCCACTTATGCTGGTGTAAACTATTATTTTTTTCAGGAAATCTTATTTCAGACTGAAGTATATATAGTTTTTCAATATACAGGCAATATAGGGGTGTGCAGATACAACTTGGGAAGATAACTATTTTATTACCTACAGAGAAAAATAAACAGAGAATAATGAGAAAGAAAAAAAGCTGCATCAGGGCTGAACTACCATAGGAACTTTATAGCTGGGCTTTCAGAAGGAATTAAAACAGTCCCTTCATTATGAGGTTTGGATAATTTTAGGTACAGAGGAAATCTAAGACGTTAAGCTTGAGAAAAAGAAATCTGACAGTGAAAAATTAGAAGATTATCTGTAAAAATGAACAGATATGATGATGTAATAGAATAAGAATTTCAAAGAAGTGACTTAGAAGAGTCAAAGCTAAATTCTGTGAGAAGCCTTTGTGAATTAATTCTAGGACTAAACAGCAAGTTCTCCCCAAGGATAAGGATACCGAGGAGAGATTTAACAGGACACGATTTGGAGGTTGTGATGCTTTCTTCACATTTTAAACACTGATGGAATAGTCTGGGAAGGTATGGCTGGGAAAGGTGTGACAGCAAGGAAACCAGTAGCCTCGTTATAAGGTGATTGCAAGTGCTAACCATGTTAATGAACATATTCTGAAATGCAGTTAACAGTAGTGTTACGATCATATCCTGAGCAGTATTTGGATTTTTGAGAACAGTAAAATTGCATTATTAAACCAGAAGAATCAGAAACTGCAGCTTAGTTTGTAATTTTATGTTACGCTTATATAAAATTATAGAATATGATAAAAGCTGTGAAGCAGATATTTTGCTTATTTCATTTTTTCACCAGCAGATTTTAAAAACAAAAGGAAGATGTCTTTTTTCCCCAAAATCTTTTTCCAACGTGAAGTTGATGAGTATCTCACCAAAGTGTTTAGAAACAACGAGGTATGTGAAATAGATATCACATCAGTAAATATTCACTAATTGAGCACCGTTAATTTTTCTTTGATTTAATATGTTGTGTGACTTCAATGCCAGAAATAAAGTATCATTTCCATATTAGACACAGATTGTTGTATACAGTTCTCTTTAAAATACAGAATTATTCTTTATGCCTGTTGGCTCAAAGTAATATAAAAATGTTTAAGCTCAATTTAGCATAAATCTGAGACTTCAGGTTTGGACCCCACTGAAGAAATGTCATAGAAAATTAACCACTTATTAATCACATAATGTTGACAGGAAATACTCCCTTGCTGTAGTGTAGAACCAAAAATACTATAGGCAGTCTATGAATTCCTAATGTTAGAGAATGCAGAAATGACAGTTTTATATATCGGGGTAAGAGTTTATTAATTCACAGTTTTGAATCTACTCTTCCATCTTGGTAAGACTGTACAGTATCACAGAGCTCGCTGGCAGTTGCTTTTGGTACTTGCTGCAGCCTTTTTACAATGGTCTTGCTAATGCTACTGTTTTTCCAGCAATTCCTTCTCAATAAGTTTATGAGGCTTTTGGAATCTGGCCTCTAGACATAGACATTCCTCACTACTGCATACCAGACAACCATATTTCTCCATTTCTGCAGAATGTTTATTCAGTTGTTGGGTTGTTTTCTTTTTTTCTTTTTTTTTTGCATTGAGCAAGAGGCTGCTGTGTGAATCTCTTAATATAAAACCTCTTCTTTCGCTTTCAGCTTATCACTGCTTTGGGTACACAGGAGGCAGAGAGTCAATACCAATCTCTCTTAAGTCATCTGTCTCATCCACCAGCTTTCTCAGCTGTTAGAGTTAATACCCACTTGGCCTCAGTGAAACATGTGAAAAAATTGCTGTTTGAAGAGATCCAGAAGGTTTGTGCAATTTCTTTGTTACAGCAAAAATAACAGGGTATTTCATCTTTTGCCTGATTCTGAGAGCTTTTCATTACTGGAAACTATAACTTAATACATGTCCACTAATATTAACATTATGCAGTCATATTGACTTCCTGTCATCATTAAATGTAAATTTATTGTCATGCAGTATCATCTAATACATTCAAGAAAAGCAATAACAGAGGGAAAAGACAACCAAATCTTTTTCATCTGGCAGATCCAAACCTTAGATAGGATTGGGGTACTACTGTGCTAAATACTGTAAAGCCATTATAAGTTTAGATAACGTGGTACAAAGAGATAGAAATTGTAGTTCAGTATGGAGTGTTCAGCATGTTTAGAACACTTTAAGTTTAAAGGAGAATGGCTGTACGTCTAATTGAACAAACTGTTCAGGAAAGTGAGAAAATCTGCATGTTTTAGAAACGGAAGCCAGAGTGATGCCTTGCAGTTGTATTTTCTGGGTTTTAACCTGTTTTTAATCTTTATATGATTTCCTGGATTTTTACTTACCTTAAACATTTTTTTATCTAATAATATGTAAGACATTATGCTTAAGAAGTAGGTTATTATGAAACTGTATCCTGTATCTTCACTCTGTCTAAAAATATCCAGTTCTTCTTTAAGTAAATTATTAATATTAGTGGGAGTACAGGGAGTTACTGTATGACAGGAGCCAAGACATTTCTGTGATGCAGAGGCAGTTGACAGTATTCTGCTGGCTGGAATGGTAATGAGTTATGCTAATTTTAGCTTGATTGTAGAAGTCTGAAAATGGGTATTGCAGTATGATATTTTGCTTCAAGGGAAAATGCTTTTCTGAAAACATAATTAAGGCTGGGTTTTTACAAACTTTTTATTTTGAAATGTTACATTAGAAAAGGAAGCCACATAACAGTTTTTAACAAGAGTATGGTCATGGATTCTTTTCTTAAGAGAAAATACTTACTTACACGATACAAGTTAATTTATAGTTTTGCATGCTTTAAGTTTATATTTTAGAAGACTCAGCGAGAAGACATCATCTCTTTAAAGTGATAGGGTTATGAGTGTCAGAACACTGTCCCACTCCCTGAAGTAATTGTCGCCTTGTTATTTCTCAGTTTATTAAATATATTAAATGTCTTTTACACCAGTATTTTTAACATGGAGTGTCTCCTCACATGCTATTACCCAGCCTCTCTTTAACTGTTTCATTACTTTGGGGGGATTTTTTTGTATGCTACAGCTATAAAATTCAAATGGAAAAATAGTTTTCAGTCTAATTAAGCGATTAAGAATTAGATTTTTTAGTGTTGCTTAATAATTATGTTTTTTAATGAAACAGCAATTTAAAGGACTATGTGTTCCAGTTCTTGAGCACCCGAAACTCCAGGACATCTTATTAATTCCTGTAATTGGACCCAGGTTTGAAATTTTCCAGTCTTTTGGCATGTCATAACTCATATTTCACTTACAGATTTCTTGTTAAACAGTTATGATAACTAACTCACTGTAAATGAAACACAAGTTTGTTTATATTAAGACCTAGTGGACAGCACATACCCTAACCAGGTGAGAGTTTTAGTTCTTAAAATATGTAAGAAAACAGAGAGAGAGATCTCTCCTTATTGACGAGAGCTTTTATATGGAAAATGTAACATTATGTACATCCTATCTGGAAAGCCAGCTGAGTGGCAGACAGAAGAACTAAACTTTTGCAGTGGAATATGAACTGTAGCTACATACAGCTAGGGTTTTCTTCCACAAGAATCAAGTCCAGAGCAGAATTTAGAGAGACTGTATCATTAATCTGAAAGGATTCATCAATCAGTTTTATCCCCTACAAAGTGACTATTTGTTCTTCATTCTTAAGATGTGTTTGGGTATTTCCCATGATGCATTTGTGTGTGCCCCTATGGAGTTTCTTGACTGTTCTGTTGAATTCATTGATGGGCCTTTTATTTAAAATATTTTCATAATGAAGACTAGCATGCTTAAGATTCAGTTTATATCATGATTAGGTAGAGATTCATAACAGTTTGTAAATGCTGTAGGCTCTAAAATAGCATTTAATTCTATTTGTTCTTTGTCAATTCTCTCTTGTAGCATCTTTCTCTGAACATTCAGTTTTATTTATATTCAAATACGTTTACATTTTAGTAAGTTTGATTATGTATCATCTTGTTCACAGTTCTTCTGGTGGAGTTCCTAGCACTTGGCTACACATTTACTATAGAAACATTTAGCAGTTGTTAAACACAAAAAATTCACTTTACAATCATCTGGTCTAGGAAGGGATAGAAGATTATTTCTCCATCTCAGTATAATTCATTTGTATTCTAGCATCAGGTTCATAATAGTGGCAGAATGTACCAGAATATGTTTTATTTCGAGGACTGGTTTCCTTCTTGGCTCCTTCCTTTGATTCCTCTGGGACTAAAATAATTCTTTTCAATCTAATACAGGATAGTTAACTATTCTATCTATTATAATGTGACAAAACCAGTATTTATGAACTAGATTTCATTTGCAGGGTATTTTTTTTTCAAGTATGCTTTTTCTCTTTTAATTTAAACTCAACTGCATTTTGTATTTTTAGGCGAGATTTAAAAAAACATGCATCTGAAGTCATTGTTGGAGCCCAGTGTGGATATGCAGTGCTTCGAGGAGCACATGTTTATGTCCCTGGAATCATATCTACCTCAAGATGTAAGAATTCTATAATACACCAATTTAAGTTGTAAAGAGGACAGAAAAAATGTCACCACTTGATGACAGTTTCCAATAAATGGTGACATTTTTCTTCCTATTCACAGTTGCTTTTTCAATATGTAATTCCTAGCAGAAGTTTTAGTTGTCCAGGAGTTCAGTTTCTTATTTTCATTTGAAAATAATTTTAAAGAGCATGTTGAAAGTAAAATATGTCTCTTTATGAGATTTTTTTACTACTGAACACTGAAACTTTTAGTATGAATGTTCAGTAGAATAAACCCACAGAATTTTACCACTTGCCAGTCTTGTAAAAAAAGAACAAAAGTACAAAAGGAATGCCACAACAGATACATCTGGATGATAAATTGATGCATGTTGATTATTTCATAGATACTACTTTCAGATATATATTTTTTTTTTATTCAGTCACAAAGACACTTGCCTTCATGATCCTGTCAGATTCTAAGTTAGAGATCTAAAAAAATAGATTTTTTTAAAAATCCATTGGCAATTCATTTGCTATTGTTTATGAGTGAGAGATCTAACAAAAAGTTTCTATTGATGAGAAAAATTTTCAGTTTTAATGGCAGATTTTTTAAAAAGTGGAAATTTTTGTTTCAGTGCCTGATGGGCCAGTATAAAAAATCTACATATGCATGCTTGGTGTTCAGCAGCTTATTTCTTTTTTATTTAAAGGTCAAATTAACTTTATGTAAAATCAGTATAATTTTGGATGATTCACCTCATTATTGTATTGTGATGAGATCTACTAGTCATCATGGGTCTTATTATTAAACAAAGTGAGTCAGGAAAGCATTTATCTAGCCACTTAACTTCATTCCCTTTTAGGAAAAAACCTTCAAGAAGTTTTAAGCATGTGCTTAAGTCCAATTCACTGAACAGGGATGTTTTTCATTCTAGGAAATGATAATGAAATAAGTATATTGCCATGGCAGTTGTTGAAACTGCTTATTTAGACAACCTCATAAATATTCAAATCCCTGTTTGAGTCAACTAGTGATTTATCATAATTGCTGCATGTAATTATGCATGCAACATCAATTCAAAGAAAATAAAAGATACTATAAAACTTTAGAAACACTTCAGGGGAATTGCAGATAGGAAAATAAAGTAAAATAAAATGGCATCCTACGTACTTGAGACCAAATATAATAAGGCTGTATTAAGCACAGATGGTCTAAATAGGGAAAGAAAGAGTACAGCAAAAACACATACTTAATCACTGAACTTGAAACCCAAATGAGGGTAAACTAATTATCAGAGGGCTTTGAGTTTAATTTAACTAATCAGACTCTAAGCTTTATGTTTATAGAATGCCAATATAAGCTACAAAAAGCTTAAGAGCCATACACAGTATCAATGCATTTCAAAAACACGATTGTCAGAAGAGAGTGAAATAAAATCCTTTATGTTTGAATACTGCAAAAAATCACTGCAAAAATGCTTAATGGAAGAGTTAAATTGCTGCAAGTTTTGTTCAGTGAAGTTTAAGCAGACCATAACAGTAGGCTGTTCTATGATTCAGAGAGTTGTTGGGACACTGAACTGCCATTAGTCTTACTTGTCGTATCTTCTTGTTGCTTTGGCTAGTCTGACACATCAGGAGTAATTTTTAAAAACTGTTTATTGCTGACAGTGGAGACCTTTATTTTTAAGCTTATTTTTTCAGCCAGTCAGTGCATAGAGCTTGCTTACTATTATAAAAAATCACCTAAACCATCTTTCTTCATCTCTTTCTGTTCTAGCTTAGAAAGTTTGTTAAAAAGTCCCTAGGCAACTTTTAAAATTTGGTGTATATTTACATACTTTACTGTTCTGAAGGATTTAATTCCAGATGTAAAACTCTTTTAGAGGATTATTGATAACAGCAGTTGCCTTAGAGCGAAGAGAGCACCACCAGAAAAATTACTTCAACAAGAATATATAGTCATTTGTATCAGAGCAGTAGTTGCAGAAGAAGCAGCTATGGCTATTGTGTATCTAGCTATTGAGAGATCATTGGACAAATTTAGTATTACTGCCTTTGTACAGTAAGTGATGCTTGCAGGCTTGGAGCATACACAGAGGACTGAATCCTGAGGAGTGTGCTTAGAACTTATAGGTGACCATGCAGTGATAAAAAACCTCGGAAGATCTGTCTGGCCTCTTTAAGAACAAGACACATGGTCTGATTTGTAACCTTGTGTCTCTCAATAGCTCTGGTCATTTAGTAGCCATTGTTCACCATTTATTCTTTCAGATCTTAATATCAGTCTTTTTGTTTTATAACATTAAGAAAGTTTAAAGTTTGCTATGATACAGGAGTTGAAGTACATACTCTACTGAAAAACCTGAATTATTTGGTCACTGCAGTCTTGTCAAAATATTAATTTCAAAATTTCCGTTCTTTGTGCAGTTCTGAAAGCTGGAGATCTGGTCTCTGTGTATTCAGATATTGAAGGGAAATGTAAAAAAGGAGCCAAAGAATTTGAAGGAGTCAAAGTTTTCCTTGGAAATGGGATTTCCGAACTGAGTCGCAGTGAAATCTTTAGTTCAAAGGGCCCATTAAAGTAAGTCCATAGTGACTGCAATCTACACCTATAACTGCAAAGGGAAGGAATATAGGAAGACATTTCAAAATGCTCAGTACCACTTATAAAACACAAGGCGGCTTTCACCGAGACCTGTGTTACATGTTGGGATTTCCAGTAATTTTTAGGAAGTATTAGTTTCTGGGAATATAATAGAATTGTGCCTCCTGCTGTCTTCTGTAACTCTGGAAATAAGGAAGCAGTAGTGTGATATCAATTCTGATTAAAGTACTACAAAAGTACTGCAAAGTACTAAAGTATTAGAAGACTCAACATTTAGTTTCAGGGTAGTACCAGATACCAGTTTACTTGAGAGGCAGGAGAAGAGAAATGAGAGCCTTTTCAGAATTTATGTAGGATATAACTTCAATAATGTAGAACAAACAGAAGTGACAAACATTCTCACTATGGAAAAATTGCATTTCAGTAAATTGTTCTGTATCAACAGAACAGTTTCCTATTTGGAAGGAACAGAAGTACAGCCTTGCTGTTTTCTCTCATCTCCTAAAAATATTTGTAAAGGGTTTTTTTGGTGGAGCAGGGGATAGAACATAAGGTCAGATACCTTAAAAAAAAAACAAACCAACAAACAAACATTTGCCAAGGTAGTTGCCTATTTCAAGATTACTTGCTTTTCTCTTTTGTTGCCAAAGCATACAGTTTGTTCTCTTGTCATCTAAAATACTAAGGTATGCTATACTAAAATACATACAAAAAGCAGGGTAGAAGAGCATGGACATTAGATTAATGACCAAGACTTCATATCCTGAGAACAAACTACAAATGGTCTAGTTAAAAAAAAAATAGAAATTACACTGTCAGAGAATTTCTGATACATTAGAGCTCAAATATAGTAGAAGTAGTGGTAGGATGTACCTGTTAACTTGATGACAGGGAGTGGCAGCATGTAACACAAAATCTGGTGTCTGCAAGTTTGCTTTCTCCTTGTTTGTCTTGTTGGCCATTTTCTTTTTGTCTTAGTGAAATCTTTGTCAGAACTTCAACCATATTTAAAATTTCTAGGTTGCTTCTAAGCTCAAACTTTTGTGTTGCAGGCAAATCAATATTCCAGTAAGGTTTTTGAAATAGCTTTTCTTTAGTTACTGAAATCTGAAATCTCAGACCAATCTAGGAAAATGGAGGAAGACCTAAATGAGAAATCATATGCCAGTTCCCTAGTGCATACATGGCTAGCCAAAAGCAGTTATGGCTTGAAATTAACACAGTCTGGTTTAATGCATTTCTTTACATTACCAAGGCTTGGATTAGATCTCAGTTTGTCTTGTGTACAAAAAATAAAAATTTGCTTTTACAGCTATTTACAATTTATAACATAGTACCTTTATTGTTCTGGTTTACCCAACTTAATCATGTAGTTTTTCTTAGTTGATTTATATATGTTTTCATTTTTGTGAGATTATTGTTCCAATTTTCTATTTGTAAGTGTAATGATTTTAATTGAATACTGTTATAAATAATAAATCAGAGTAGTTGATTTATTTTTTTTTTTATGTTTTTCAGTGGGCTGGGCATAAGAATGGTAGAGCCAGTCTACCTTAGTCCTTCTTTTGACAATGTGCTCCCTAGTCAATTGTTTTTACAGGTATGTTTATTACAAAAAGTAAAGTCTGTACTATTTGCAGAATGATGAATGTTCTCTACTTTATAAATGTGGCACCTAATTCACTCTTCGGGTTTAAAGAAAAAAAACATTTAGAATGGAGTCAGTAACTGCGTGTTTAAACATACTGCATCTGAGACATAGTAAGGGACTTCAAAGTGACTTAAATACTCACTTAAAAACTTAAAATTCTTTTTGCACAGATACTTCTAGTAACTTTCAGTTACCACTATTGACTGGCTGCCAGCTGGAATTTGTGCCACTGTTTACAACCCTTTGTTCCAGCTTGTTTGGCTTGAATTTGCCATGTGTGAGGTGAATTATTGTGACTTTTTTTGAACACTGTGCTAAACAAAGACAACACATAACAAAGACAACTTTAAAAGGTTTTTGTATCTTTGTGTTGAACCAAGTTAATCTTTCAGCGTATTGCTATATTGTGTAAAATGCAGTACTGTGAACAGTTACTGCATATTATTTCTCTTCAATGCATCTGCTATGTTTATACCATTAATAGCACAGTTCAGCTTCTCAGTACCTTAATTCAGCAAGTTTAAACTCCTGCCTGTTGATCTTACTGCTTGTTGCTATACTACACCAGTATGTTCATACAGTAAATACCAGTGTAAAATAATTGTAATATACAGAGTTGCTCAGTTTCTCTGATAGTATCAGCTTATTTTATTTTGACTCTTAGCACTGTAGTCTCCATAGTCATGAACCCTTAAACTTCAGTCATAGATCTTCATATAAAGCTTTAAATAAAAAAAGAGCCATTGGAGATTTCTGACCCATACTGTCTCCTTTATGTAGTTGCAATAGTTCATTTTCACTAGGGATCTGACAGCAATATCATAGGTATCTTCACTGCTGAATGAATTTTTGTTTCAATGAGTCTGTCATTCCTTGATACAAGACTTGATATAGGACATAAGGTTTGAATTCTCCCTTATTTGTTGTTTTGGGTTTTTTTTGATAGAACTTGCCTTCTGTGGTTGTGAGCCATATTTTAAACCCTCAGCCAGGAGAGAGAATTTTGGATATGTGTGCTGCACCTGGAGGAAAAACAACTCATCTTGCAGCATTAATGCATGATCAGGTAAGAGAAGACTCTTGTCTTTCAGTTTGTTCTTTTTTCTGAGAGTCTCTCAGGAGAAGGAGTTACCTCTTTCTATCCGCAGTACAGTGCCTGTGTAGCAAGTTCACTGCTTTAGCAACAGATCTAACTTTGAAGCACAATCAGTTGTAAGTGTGAATGCGCAATAGGTTGAACAGTGATAGGTGAGAAGCAGCAGCACATGGTTTAAACCCAGCTGGCAACTAAGTACTATGCACCCTCTTGCTCACTTCTCTCCATCTCCCCAGTGGGGTGGGGAAGAGAATTGGAAAAAAAGGTAAAAGCCCATGGGTTAAGAACAGTTTAATAACTAAAAAAAAATTAATTACACTGTCTATCTTAGTTGTGTTACCCTTCCATAAGCCCCTAGAGTGCCATCACCAAATAGAAAAAAGTCGTCGTGTTTTCTCAACAGGTTCTATTTGCTATGGCCAGTCTAGTGGAAGATTGTGGCCTTTGGGGTTTTCTTGAAGATGGTATTTCTGTTCTGGATTTTACTGATGCTACTTTTTACTTTTCTTTGTGCTTACAGATTTCATCTAGCAGATAGTGGTGTGTGTCTGTTTTGATTTATCTTGGGAGAGAAAAAGAGAAATCTTACATAAAATGAATAATGCGTAATTGTGATTCCTCTACCCCCACATCTAAAATTTGTTCTAGTATTTACTGTATATCCCAAAGTAACTTGAGTGACAACTACTGCAAATCTAACAGTATATTGAGCCTGAGCAAGCCAGAGGCATGGATGTGGGCCTCATTTCCTCAGCAGTGAGCTGGATGTAATCATGTTTCTTACCATCTCCATGCAAATTTAAAATCTGTTGACCTATTTTACCGTGCATTTGAGACTTCTACCCCCTTTTAAATGCTTCCATTTTAACCTATTTCCCAGCAAAACAGTACAAAACAAAAAGAAAAAAGCAAAAAAACCCCACTTGCCGTTAGTCACAATATAGGGTCCCTTGGGGAGTGACTATGCATCTAGTGCCAGTCAGAATGCACACAGCTTCAGACTAGTACCTAGCCTGATGAGGGTATCATGGCAAATATGGGTGAACAAGGGCTGTGTGAGTGTGGATTTAAGAATAACAAAATTCTGCAGGGAAAACTAAGCTTCATTCGTTACACTGCTCATGGCAGGGGAAGGAAATCAGGAACTTCACATCCATTTAATCCCTATGCATCTGATGAAGAATTCATCTGTTTTTCAGGGAGAAGTAATAGCCATTGACAAGATAGCTAACAAGGTCAAAAAAATTAAGCAGAATGCTGAATTGCTGCAGTTGAATTGCATTAAGGCTTTTTGCTATGATGGAACAAAGGCACTTTCAGTTGAGAAGAGAGAGGATGAACAAGGTAAAGTAACTCGGGTCGTAGCTTTTCGAATAAAATACTAAGGTTTTGCACTAATGGTGTTAAAACTGCCACAGGTCTGCAAGTCCTTAAAATCTTGGCAGATACTTAAGTTGCTTTAGCACTGTGAATTCATTTATTTTCTAGTCTTTTCTGATGATCGTCTTCTCCATGAGGCAAACACAAACCTTAAACTATCTGTCCTTATCACAACCTAATATGCTCAAAGGAAGTGCATTTCTTTCTCAGATAATATCAAAGACTGAAGAAGCTTTAAACCTTCTTTCGTGGTAATGTTTAACCCCATGCTCTGAAATGATTGACTTACTCTGAGAGAAAAAAATATTTTGCAGAATTGTTCGGCTTTTCTGCCTTAGAATCCTATTTGTAAAATGAGTTATTAATACCTAACTCCCAGGAGTGCTGCAAGGTTTAGTTCATTGATGTTTGTTCAGCTGTTCAAGAGAAAGTTCTATAGAAGCACAGTGTATTATTTTAAGTTCATTTAATTTGCTTTTCTGAAGTGCTGTATTTATGATACTGGTTCTGTTCCCATGATGGAATGATTTAAGTGGTATCTTCTGTCTTGATTATTTTTAGTTTGTTGTGCAAAGTATGCTGTTCTTTCTCACTGTATATTATCCCAGTCACTGGTTAGCCTAAATAGGAATCGGGTTGCATAATTCACCTTCACTGTCTCTGTGCCTTACTGTTACTTCTGCTTTGGAGGAATAAAGGTACTTTCTTAAAGTCTTTCTGTGAACATAAAATATTGTAGGTGGTATGTAGCACTTACACAGATGAACAAGAGCTAGCTGTATTACTGAGAGATTATGAAGGCTTTTCTGTAGGTCCCTGCAAGTAAGACATGGCATATTTTGAACGTTTTAGTAATGGATCAGACGTAGATAGATAAGACTCATTTTGTAGTGCTAGAACAAGCTAGGTAGTAGTAGTGTGAAGTCACTCACTTGTTTTCACTTGTAACCCAGCTTGAATATTTGAGGAACTGAAGGAAGAAGGGAGGTAAAGCATATATGTATGTCTCTCTTCCTCATTAGATACTCACAGATATACGTATGGAGCCATTTTTGCCTTGGTGATGCTGATCTGAAGCGTCTCTGTAGCCCTAAGGCGATAGAAACTTTTGGGCTGTTGAGTCAGTGGGATTCAGATGAAAGGATAGGCTCTGCAAACAGAAGTTACATACTCCCTTATCTACCCAGGTGATATTCAAAAAGTGTTCTTGTCTTCACAATCCTTGTTTACTGAATTGTTCTGCTGTGGGGACAGCACATGTCACACATTAGAACATGTAATATTTCATGTTATTTTGAAGTGCTTTATTTCTACAGAAATATATGCATTGCAAGAAATAGTTATTATATAGACAGTATTATTACTGGCTGCCTTAATTGCAGGCTTCTCTTTGTGAAGATTTGCACACTTGGTTCAGTTATGAGCTGACTGGTTCATTGCAGCCTATATGTACAACTCTGTAGCCAGCACCTCTGACCAATCATATTTCAACATTTTGTTTGATCATTTTTACATTTTACTTTTGAATTATTAAGGTTAAAAAAATCTTATTGCCTAAAGAGATCATGTATTGTTTGAGCTCACAGAACTAACTTTTTGGTTTTCTGGAAGATGAAATCTACCACAAGCAATGCTGAGACTTCTCTCCAGCTGAGAGACACTATCATCTATAGCATAAATGTTCTGTAGATACAGTAACAGCTTGTCCTTATCTATGGTGAAGTCTCAAAGTAAAAACCAGCCACATTTCGCATTACTGCTTTTTACAGAAGGACCTCCATTCTTACCAGAGTCATTTGACAGAATTCTCCTTGATGCTCCATGTAGTGGGATGGGGCAGAGACCAAACATGGCTTATACATCAACTTTAAAGGAAGTGACCTCTTACAAACCACTGCAGCGGAAGCTTTTCACGGTGGTATGTATTAATCATTGAGTAGATGAGCTAAACTGACCATAAATGCTTTTGCAACATAAAACTTCATACTGAAAAACGGTACCTCATTTTCCCTGCCTTTTCAACAGTTAAGTAAAGAAGTGTTAGGATCCAGTTAACCTCTCAGCTGCACCATATCTGCTAGGTGAAATCAATTCACTGGAGCATGGGAAAGGTATATGTAAGTTATAGTAAATAAAACCCTTTGTATTCACAGGGAAGTGGGCATTTCGGAAGGGAGAGCCACTGTGCAGGGTGAAGTGGATAGGTTGGAAGAGTGAGTTAACAAGAAACTTACAATGTTCAGCAAGGACAAGTGTAAGGTCTTGCACCTAGGAAAACACAGTCCAAGAGCTGGGATCTGCCTGGCTGGGAGCAGCTTGTAGAAAAGGGACTTGGGGGTCCTGGTGGACAACAAGCTCAGTATGAGTGAACAGTGTGCTGCTGCAGCACAGAAAGCCAACAAGATGCTGGGTTATATCAACAAGAACACCAGCAGAGATAAAGTCATTGTCCCACTCTACTCAGCACTTGTCAGGCCACACCTGGAATACTGTGTTCAGTTTTGGGCCCTGCTATGCAAAAAAGATGTGGACAGGCTGGAAAGAATCCAAAGAAGGGCTGCAAAGGTGATCAAAGGATTGGGAAGCTACCCCATGAGGAAAGCCTGAGAGAACCAGGTTTTTTAAGCCTTGAGAAAAGGAGGCTCAGGGGAGACCTTATCACCATTTGTGGAATTTACAGGGTGACTTAAAGGAGTTGGAGATACCCTTTTTACAAGGAGTAACATGGAAGAGGTGAAGAGTTTTGAGTACAGGTTACTCCTGGGGAGATTCTGATTGAACAGTCAGCCATCGGAACAATCTTATCAGTCAAGTGGTGGACTCCTCAAGTGTTCAACTTTAAAGATTCAGCTGGGCAGGCTGCTGGGCCATCTAGTCTAGGTCATGCTTTGCCAGGAAAGGTTGGACCAGGTGATATTTGAAGTTTTTTCCAACCTGGTATTCTATGATTTTTTTTTTTTCATTCCTTCAGTTTCATCACTTTTAATTTCTAGTAAGTCATGGGGCAGGTTAAAGTCTTCTGTCTGCAGCAGCACAGACTCTTGTAAGTTCACTGCATAGTGCTGTGAGGTACTGCATGAGGTATGAGGTGGAGTACAAAGCCAGGAGGCTGTATTTTTCATGCTAGTAGAGGTGTGCTTGGGCTGATGCTTAAAGACAAGATTCCATGAAGCTTTTCTAAAGCTGAATTATATGTATTCAGAGGGAAGCACAGCTTGAAAAGCAGTGTATCTATAGCTTCCATGCCAAATATGTGGAAACAGTTGACATGTAATATCGCTGATAAAAATACTGTGTATACATGGCTGGCAGCAGGTGATGAAAACAGAACTAATTTGTATGGGATATGCAGAGCTGTACAAATAACAAATCTTACAAGATGAATCATCACAGTGGCATTAATAAACTGCAAGAGCTATAATGCTGATTTGGGAAGAAGAATCTTTGTAATCCGTGGGATCCTTTACTGTATTTCCTGAGAAGAATTAATATCCTAATGCCTGTCTCAGACAGAAAGATTTGAGTTTAATTAAGTGCTAAGTTTTCATATTATAGCTTAATGGTTTCTTGGTTAGTGTTGCTTAATATGAAAGTTTTTGCATTTAAAAATAAGCTGAACTGGTGCTTATTTCTCCCTGCAGGCAGTGAAATTGCTGAAACCAGGAGGTGTTTTAGTATATAGTACATGTACAATTACACTCTCTGAAAATGAGGAGCAAGTTGCTTGGGCCCTGAAAACTTTTCCATGCCTCCAGCTTCAGCCACAGGTAATAGTATTTTCAGGGTATTTCACACAATCCAGTGAGCTTGTTTTGGCACTCTGAAGATACACGCTATATTTGCTATCAATAAATCTTTTTCACTGCAGACAATTTTAACTGCTGTGGATAGAAATAACACAAGCATTTCTGAGGCTCTTTCAGATCTATTTACATGTTTAATTTAGCTTCATTTAGGGATCGTTAAGTAGTTTCTCACTGTGTGCCATGGTTGTTTTGATTTGTACAAGTCATTTAAAACACAAAAGGGACAAGAGATAGTTCAAGACAGGGTAAAAAATTCTCTTGCAGTTGTTCTTTAATGCATATATTTTGTTATCTTTTTTTTGCACATTCACAGAAGAGGTGAAAAATTTTTTATTAATGCCACTGAAGTAGTGAAGACTTGCCTAAAGGATGGGAGATAAATGGAAAGAACCTTATGTTTTGAGGAAGGAGGATTTAATATGTATGGGAGCTATATTTGCATTATGTAAAGGAATGAGGGAACAAATTTATTTCAGTCTCACTGTCCCAAGAATGTACCTTGTCATTTTTAGAGTCACTGTCTACCATTAATAAGTAAGTCTAGGAGGAGGTAATATATAGGGAGATAGTAGAATCTTTTATCTATACTAAATACATTAGAAAAATATGTTACCTTTATTACTACCTTGAAAGAATTTATCATCAGGCCATATGCATCAATCTTCCTCTTTGTTGATGTGGTGAGTTGGGTGCATTAGTTGTTTATCACCATAGTTTGAGGAAGAGTCTAACCTGTTTAGCTAACTTATATATTGTGATGACTTGCATCTGTCTTAAGAAGTTTAGATGCATCTTTTAACTGAAATTTAAAAAATATATGCAACAGGTGTACAATAAAAAATTGTTTGAAGGCTGGTAAAGATTTAACAGAACTGAAGCTTTTCTTAAAAAATTGTGTCAGGGTTTTTCCGCCTGTTTTCTCACCATCCATTTATTAGGAATGTTTTAGTTCCAGCTGTTTCAACTGAGATTATACATTTACCTAACAGCATAAAAATTGTCCTTGATTGATCAATAAAGCAAAACAGAAGGCATGTTAACTCAAATGCAAGATTAATTCCTGCTTAATGAGCTTCCTCTCACCAGTAATATCAGTCTTGAATAAAGCTCTAATTTTCACACACAAATGCCTTATCTGTAAAAATTAAGCTTTGTTTATAGTATATTTTAAATGAGACGATACTGAATTGTTTACCCACAGAAAGTCTCCAGTATTTTACAACCAGTTCCCTGGTAGTCAGGTGATCTTTTCCAATGAACAGGAACTGCACTCTAGGGTTGACTTACCTTATGTTCATTTATGTATTTCTCATATTATTCTAGTCTCTCAGTGAAAGCTTCCTTATATAATCAATTAAGTGTCTCCCATTTTCTCAAATTAGCAACAGGTCCTGGAATCATGTTAGGTAAGGAATGAACAGGAGACAGAGCCTTGGGTGTTGATCTCGTAGGTGGAGGTTACTGCATGGCAGTTGATCCTTTGTCTGTGCAGACTTACTTACTTCCCCTTAGGGGCTTACATGAGAGATAGATATTGTGTATCAGCTTAAATGCAGTAAATTAACTGGAAGGAAAAATGAAAAAGTAGAGGAGAAAACTGGTCTGTCTTTGAGCAAGTTGCTTGACCCAATGTAATAGTGTTTTCCCTAGGCTTCTAACTTTCCATCCACTATGAGTTGCTATCCTTGTCTCCCTTTGTATATTGTTTTTTCTCAATTTGCAAGAGACACCTCTTTTTGTCTCTTACCTGGAAAGCACTGAAGTCCTGCTGAGAGAAAGGAAGGAAAGAATCAGGCTGCAAATGCTCGGCTGCCCAGCTTTACAGCATACAGTATGTGGTTAAGCAACTGTGTCATGTGCTGACTGGGTGAGCTTGTGTTAGCAAAGTGGGATGGCTCAAAAAAAGTGCTTTGTGGTAGGCTGCATGATAGACTACACTAGATTTACAAAGGAAACTAATTTTTGATATTGCAATGCCAGCTTTTGTACATTTTGTTGTATCTTCTTACTGAATGCATGTAAAGAACAGTCCACTTAAGAATCAGGTTTTTCCAGGAATCGGTATATTTATACCAAGAAGCAGTCAAGGCTATTCACAGGAAATACTGAGAAAAGGGCAGTGATTTTAAGCCCTTCTCCTCTCCAGGATTTTGATGCCAAATGTTATCTCCTGAATTCAGATAGTGAAACTGTTCCCTTTATCTTTCTTTACCATCGTATACCTACACATGTAACAGTAGTCCCATTTACCCATTAGTCTAAATTACATGAAAAAAAATCTGAAGTTGACATTTTTCTGCTGCTTCATCTTCCAAAATAAATAATAGCTCTTCAGGTGGCAGAGTATTTTGGTATGGGGCTTTCAGTCTCCAGTTGAATTTTTAATGTGAAGAATCCAGTTATTTCTACTACTGTTACTGAGTAATATTGGTAACTGGCTAAGGATTCACTATTTTTGACTTAACGTGTAGCTATCAGTCAGTACACAGAAGCTCTGCGTCATTTAAAAGTAGTAACTTAAAACCTTTAGACCTTATTGTCTGGTGATAACAACCTTCTTGTGATGTTTCTGTCCTTTGAGTAATGCATTGATTTAAACCCGTACACCTGTCCTCAGTAAGTGCACTAAATTCCTGGGCTGAAGTGAATAGGGTGCACCACGACCTCCTCAAAGTAATTTGGACCTTATATGTATGCTTTTATACATCCTGGCCAGCTGAAGCCAAGAAAAGAAGGGCCACATTACTTTTAAATCCTCCCCTGGTATGAATGATACACACCCAGCTTGTCCATATGAACAGGGAGCTCTGCATATACTTACCAGAATACATTTAGGGCATTTAAGAACTTTACTCATGCAATAACTTGCTTTTCCTTGTTGCTTAAAAAGGAGCCTCACATTGGAGGAGAAGGCATGAGGGGAGCTGGACTGCCGCTTGATCAGTTGAAGCTGCTGCAGAGATTTGATCCATCTGCTGTGACATTGCAGGGAATGGATATTAATTCTTTGCAAGATTTCAGGGAAGATGATCTGATTTCACTGGCAAATAAGGACTGTATAGGATTTTTTATTGCAAAGTTTATTAAATCAAACAGTAAATAAGCATTTAAGAATGGCACCTGAAAAAATACCTCTGTGCGTCTATGGACAGTTGAGACATGAAGTGTGTTTCTCACTGCTGCAACGTTGCCAAGCCAACGCGCTGACGGCAGGGTTGCTATGGCAGCCATAAAATCTGCCAGCTGTTCTGCTGGGAAAGAGCCACAGGTTGCAGAAAGAAAATCATGTCTGGGGGAAGGGCAGCATCATTTTTAAGTCTGCATTTGCTTTTGAATTTACAGGAGGTCAGTGCATGAATGACAAGTATGATCACTCACACTGCTGTCTGCCCTGTGTGAGTAGCTTATCTAGTGCAGCAAGTGTAGGAAGGGGTTTCTTTGGAGGGGAAGTGAGCTAATTTATGAAATGCAAACGTAAAAAAAAATAGATGGGAACTATTATTGTGAATCTTAGAAAAGGTTGTTTCTCTGGAGGTTTACCAGTAGGCAATGTTTCATTAAATGAAGGTTTCTTCACGAAACACTAATATTTTACAAAGAACTGTTTTATAAATTGATACTTAGAACCTCATTTCTCTTTTATTTTAATACAAGCAAGATTCTCTGTACACATAGTATATACACAAAATACGATTAGGCTTTGTAGCATGTCTTTTATAGCAGCATGAATATATTAAACCATCTCACTCTGGGAATGTAAATAAATATTGTTTCAACATCAAACTTCCCATGCATTAACTGTATTGGTTCTGAAATAGCCTATTGGACTGGCTGACAAGTGACAATTTTAAAATCAAACATTTGCAACAGAAGGGGCTACAGTTGTGATTAATATATCAAAAGACAGAAAACAATGCATAAAACCATCTGAAATGTTGCAAATCACCTTTCAAACAACTAAGAATATTGACTCTTCACTGGTTAGAAAGCATCACCAGCTAAAATCATAGGAAAATTGAAACTGGGGAAGCATGCTAATGACAACTGCCTTAATACACTGCTCAAAGATTTAGTAATCTAATTTTTTTAAATTAGATGTACTTGAAAATTCTGTTTCAGTTCCAGTATTCTCTTAGTACTGCTAGAACTGACAATAGCACTGAAATCAGAGAGAAAAAGTTAGTACAATTCAAAAACATAACCTGACATCTGTGTGTGTTTAGTTTTTCCTCTTAATCATCGATTTCCAGTTTTTAAAAGCATTATCTGGAAAATGTCTGTTTTTTTCACACGATTATTTGGTTGGATTAGAAAGAGTGATACTTCTTTTATTTGTCTTTATACTGTCAGAAGTACTTTTGCATTTGCTCACAATCAAAACAATTTTTACAATTCTGTTTCTCAGTAGTTTGGTTGTTTACTTATATTTGCTGTAAATGTTTGGATACCATATGTTTTCTACTGTTCTTAAATAAATGTCCCTTCTGCCACAGTTGACTAGTACATCCTCTGAAAGGCTTACGCTAGCAGAATAGGAGGATGGAATTCCTGTCTAGTACTTGTCTACTTTCGTTGGTCACTCCTTGCAATTAACCACAATGTGTCTAAAGAAGATTTAAAATAATTTTGATTTCATCAGTAGTAGGTGAGATATCCTGTTCAGAATCATGAAAGCTCTTACTATAAATTACAATCTTTTTCATCTAAATATGGCTGAAATAATTACTTGGTAACAAAAGGGATTAGACTTTTATTGTAAGTACATGTTGAAATCTTTACCTCAGTACTAGTAAAAAAGAATTTTCATTTTGCAGAATAAGTAAATTCTGTAAACATTGATCAGCACACATAGACTATATACTGAAATTTGTGTATGCATGTAAAGCAAGGAACTTTGCCTCCAGTTTCAGTAGTAGGATTTTGCAACTGAATTTGAAAGAATTAAGATTGCTGAATGTGAGTGGAAGACTTGTTGAGACCTGCCCCGATTTCTTTAGTTTTGAATGATAAACAGGCTTTTCAAGAAGGTGGTATTACTTGATTTTATATGAGAAGTTTCGGGGGGGGGGGGCAGGAAGCGGGGAAGGGGAGAAAAATAACTGACTGTATTTGATTCCAGTGTAATTGCAGACCAGACTTCACCTGAAAATATTACTGATACCTGAACTTTAACTATTAGAGTTATTTGAAAGAACACTTAGCATATTAAAAGGAAAAGCCTCAGCTGTTTCCCCTAGGCTCCTCTCTCCATTGATAATTTGGGGAGTGGTGATGGTGATGGGAGAGAACAGAAACTCAATTAAGATGCTCCAAATCATCCCTTAAAGGCTCCAGCGGACTTCCTTTTGACTACAGGCTTGGCTAAATCAGATCAGTGAAGTTGGATATATGCCTTTTCTCCTTTTTGCTTTTCTCTTCTTTGTTCTTCTTTTCTTTCCTTTATTTTTTTTCCTTTTTTTTTCTTTTCTTTTTTATTTTTCTCTTTTTCTATTTTTTTACCTTTATTTTCTTTTTTCTCTTTTCTTTATCCTGTTTTTTTTTCTAACCTTACTACCTTACTGTGACTTTAACTGGAAGTGTAGCAATACTTTCCCAAAGTCACAATTCTGATAGTGTATATATATTTTTAATATATAACAGGATTACTTTCCTGATAAGAACGTTTTACACACTGAATCATTATGCTTCAGCAGTTGGTGCCGAAGCACAATTAAATATATGTATATATTTATATATATACTATATGAGATATTGATATATTAAAAAAGTTATCATTGTAAAGATTAACCCTACAAAATAGATAATTAGGCATGCAGATTCTGTCTTTAAGAAAGCCTGAAAAGTATTTTTCTCTGTCTGCAGAAATAGTGATTAGTAATAGTGCCAAATATAAATATTTATCTTTCTTTGTCAATATAAAGTATTAAAATAGGCAGCCTAGTATAGTATGAAATTATTACACAGCTTTTTCCTGTTTCAGTGTCATGGAGTCCACCAAGTTTTAGATCATATGATTTCATATGCTTTTTAAGGAAAAGGAAATTTTTTAGTAAGAAATAGAGTGGTGATGGTTATCAACAAGAAATTACTTTGGAGTGGGTAGTTTAAACCATAAAGAACCTTCTTCTTATGTTTAATTGTTCATTGCTAAGAAAACTGATGAGCAAATCCAACTCTGCTGCTAGAATTCAGTGCAGAGTAGGTAAGCATAATAGATAAAAGTGGTAAGAATGAAGTAAGAAAAGAGAACACAGGTGAGTTAGAAGAATCAGCTTAATCTCTATTATATCTGATAAAAATCTTTTTTTTTGAGCTGCGTAGGAACACGTCTCTAGGGTGGTATGTTATAAAAAGAAACTGTCTATAAAACTACTGTAAGCTCATATATAACAGTTTGTTATATAGAAGTGGAGAAATAAATTACAGACAAATTGCCAAGCAATAAATCTGATTGAATAACATTTGATTAAAAACACTCACAATAAAAATGGCATCCACATACTTTACAGACAATAGAAGAACTAAAATTTTGGTGAAAGATCTGCAATAAAGCAATAAATATAAGTAAATGTACACCAGAAATGTTATATTACACTCCAAAAAAAAAAAAAAATTCTGTTCTTTCTCTAGACTATGTAATAGTTTTTTGCAATGTGCTTTATTTTCATGGACGGAATAGAGTTAAAGTCGAAAGCATCTGGGAAATAGATTCCAGCCTGATGCATTAAAGCTGTCAGAGATCAAATGTAACCACGAACCAAAATAAATCTTTAAGAGGCTTTAGTAACTAACACAGGAGGTGGTTTACAAGAATCTTTTTACTTTGGATAGACACTGATTAAAAGCAATCAGATGGATCACTGCATTCCAGCTAAGGGAATGATGGATCACATTAAAACCTCTGCAGGTGTCACAGAATGCAAGCATGACTTCACAAACCAACAGAGCTTAAAGAAGGCAATTACTAACAAATTCATAAAAGACAGTAAGTGTTAAGGGCAGGGTATTAGACCCGGGCAGGAACTGTATGTATAGGGTAAGTAACCACATATGTAAGGAGAAGTAAAAATAGGTCTCTGCTTTTATTCAGGGTTTGATGAGTGAAATTTCATTTCCTTCTCCTCTATTACAGTAAGGACTACAGATGAAGAGCTTACAGATATCTGTGAAACCAGGTACACCACTCAAACTCACTGTGGGTTTAAAACCAGTCTTTGTTAATTGGGGCTAAATCCTTAGGATAAATTATCTGATTTTACACCTTAAGTAGTAAAAATTGTGGAACTCTAAAATTTTGAACTCCTGATGCCAGACAGAATATTAAAATAGTCTTCTAGAATACTCATGGATTCATATCTAGGCAGTAATTTATGGGTAGATTTAAAAATAGTTTGTCAGCTTTTAAATCCTAATTGATGCTGCCTTTGTGCACAAACCTGTTTGCTTACTCATCCCCACTGTCTGTCCCTTACTAGGTCTGGAGACTGTTACTCTCACCCCCTCCAGTCCCTGCTCAAGAATTCTTTTTTTCCACAGTGTTTGTGTGACACTAAACAACTGATAAAGGATAGACTCGGGCTACTGAACAGTACTGATGTGTATTCATTTGAAAAGACATACAAAAATAAGGTAAACATCTAACATATATACATGTAATTGTTAAAATGTATCCCATTCCTTCCATATACTGAAATTCTTTAGAAAAATACAGAGCAAGAGCTGACAAGAGCTATGTATCACTTAACTCTTTTTTCTTCCCCTCTTTCCTTCTGTCTCACTGGTTTTATCTTTTTAGCTCATTTCAATAGAAATTTTACAGGTTGCTTTGTACCACACATACATAAGACGACTCTGGAGCTCACTGGGACCTTTACCATTTCTCAGATTCAAAGCTTCTGAAACCACATATGGAAATATGAACTCATTAATATCCTAATGCAAACAATAATATTAAATTTTCTATTGGCAAAACTTTGCAAAGACATTTCATCACAATAACCCTTGATATGTCCTCCAGTTGGAGTATTTTTAAAGCTTCTTACTGAAATAATTCTATTAAAGTGCTTTTCAAAGTAATGCTCAGCAGGCAGGTGCTATTATGCAATATGTGTAGTACAAGCTCACATTACAAATGATTTATCACTCATAAAACAGTAACTGACAGAAAGTATCTTAGCAAGGCTAATAAAAACCTACTGAGTCTGCCTAAGAAATACATGTGGTGTTACTATGTTGTCTGTACATAATCAGCAGCACTATAGAAAACATGATTCATTAGCTGGATTGGGACATGCCTTATTTTGTGATATTTATATTTCATAAATCAATACATAGCCCATACTTAAATACTAGGGCTTGGACTATGCTCTTTATTTTCTCATTTATTTGTCTATATATGGCTACCTACTCCACGGTTTTCATCCACTGCTCAGTGCTCAGAAATTCTGCCACACATTCCTTAAGCATTACTTTAAGAAAGGTGGACAACAAACACTCTCTAGAGCAAAAGTAAAAAAAGAAAAATACACAAAAAAAACCCAAAATCAAAACCCACAAAAAAAATAGTAAAGTTACTGAAGTGGAATCCATAGATCACTTCTTGGAGGACACACAGCTGTCATATAACATTTGTAGGGAGCAACAGCATTTACTGAAGCTGGTAAAATAACTACAGCCAGGCTACACAGAACAAGACATTTTAACTTCTCTTCCCATTTAGCTTCTCTTCCCATTTACATGTGATCTGATATGAATCAAACAACAAAGTCTTCCAATATAGCTTTCCACTGATACCCTGAAAATCCTCTGGTATCAAAAGACACTGTTTTTATACTCTTATATATCCATTTAGCAACACAACAGATCTACTTACCTATAAATCCTTTGTCTACAATTTCATGTAGTGATGTTTAAAAAATGCTTATCATTTTATTTCTAGAAAAATACCCTCTTCCTTGTGTTCCCCACAGTTCATGTTTTGAGCCACACACTAACCTTGAATAACCACAACAGTCAGCAGCACAGGAGAAATGGCCAGATACCTGACAGCAGAATTTCACACTCTTACATCATTGTAAAAAAGTGCATATAAAGCATCAGGGGGCAGGGAAGCAAGAGGGAGAGGGAGGACAGAGTATGTTCACGGGAGTTAAACTGAATTGCTTGGATGCTGGAATAGGAGATTGGAGAAAACATGCACCTGCCATATATCTTATCCATTTCACTAAAATGATATTGAAAATCAGGCAATGCTGATATTCCCAGAATTAGAATAATAAATAGAACTTCCAGCTAAATTAATTATCATCCCACTACAGTCTTTATATAATGTGCTATTTACAGTGAAATACAAAAAGTATTTCATTCATACAGTTACTACAAAGACTATATATGTGATGCAGAACAGCTTTTACACTAGGCAAGGGTATGGAACCTGTAGTCAAAAACAACAGTGAATTTCCCCCACTTACTAGCGCAACAGGTGTTCAATGC